CATCTGCGGCGGCGGCGCGCACCCTGAAATCTCCCAGGCCGGCCGGGGGGAGGGGGCTTCGGGACCGGAGGGCACACCGTCTCCTGGGGCCTCTTCAGGGCTCCAGATCGTCCTGGGGCCCCGGTAAGGGCCTTCGCTCCCCGGCGACCCTTTTGCCCTCTGCAAAGAGCTCCAGTTCCCGGGGCCGCTGCCCGGGCCACCATCTCGAGTCCCCCTGCCCTCAGCAGTGAGCGGCCGGCCCCACCCCCGCCGAGACCGAGTTCAACAAGTTTGGCCAACAAGTCCTGGAACCTCCATGGCTGGGCCTGGCCTGGCAGCTCCGCTTGGGCTTCATGGCTCTGAGTTGTGCAGCACCCGGCTGGCAAGAGGGGCCGGTCGAAGGGCGACGTCCACAGGGTTGAGAGCAGAGCCCGCCAGCCCCTGGGCTCCGAGGTTTGGTGTGGAAGGTCCGGGTTTGGAGTGCGTCATCGGGGAGCAGGCACCTCGGCAGGCAGGTCGGGTTTCCAAAAGTGCCCCTTTGTTATGCCCCTCCCAGGCCCTGCCTCCTCCCCTTTCCCCGCGCCACCCCCTCCCCCAGCCGCCCTGGCCACTGATTCCAGCCGCTGTAGCCTAGGTGTCCCTATGTCTGCCGTCCCCTCCGTGCCTTCAACTCAGGGCTGCCGGCCCTCGGGGAGGGGCGGCTGGAAGAAGAGGCCTTGGGTGCAGCCTGTGACTCAGGACAGGATGGTTGGGCAGGGCAGGAAGGCAGTGCTCCCTCCCAGGGGCTTGCCCCCAGCTTCTGGGAAGGGGGAGGGCAGGTCTGGGCCGGGGTTACCTACCTGCCTCAGGTAGGGAGAGTGGGTTCTTTCCTGAACCCCAGGATTCCTTACCTTGGCCCAGGCAGCTATGAGGAGACCCTGCCAAGTCCCAGCCGACTTCTAGGGGTCCAGTAAGTGCTGACTCCCTGGGCCGGGAAGCTTTCATTATCTGCTTTCTGAGCTCTTGTCTGTGGCAGCGTGTTCTGGGGACCGTTCTGGTTCTCTGCTGAGATCGGGAGGTACAGGGTGCAAGGCCCACCCCTACAGCTAGATCCAGCCGGGGCTGTTGGGCCTGGCTGTGCCTGGGGCTTGGTCTTGTGTTTGCTCTGGGAGGCCGGAGGGAGCAGTGCCAGCCCTGCACACAGCTTGCTCTGTTCTGGGGCCAGAGAGAGGGAATGGGTCGGGGGCAGCTCTCCAGGGAGCTGGGAGCATGGAGCTGGGGCGGGCAGGGGGCTGGGGCCCCAGGATGCCAGACTGGGACGGCACCAAAGGCCGGTGATTGACAGCCGCAGCTCTGGTTCTCTCCATCTGGTTGGCAAGTGGGACTGACTCAAGAGGAAGCAAGGTGAAGTGCTGAGGACCCTGGTGGGGTTAGCTGCTCTGCCCTGTGCCTGAGCTCTCCTGTTAGCTGAGGGGGGGAAGCCCGCACAGGCCAACCTTTCATACAGCTGCTGTAGCTGTGGGTTTCCTGGTCTTCAGGGGAATGACATTTGTGTTTTCATTCAACTACTAACGCCAGTGCCTGGAGGAATCCAAATTGGACCCTCAGGAAGTCTGTCAACGACTGCGGACAGATCCTGTGGGATTTATACCGACTGAGGGGTCAGAGGGGCTGTGGGAATGGGGATGGCGAGCGGGGCTGTGGACGAGATGCCTTGATTTGAATGTGGAAGAACGGGTAGAGGTTCGTCAGTGTGGAGGGGGCACTGCGATGAAGCCTTGCTTGGGGGCAACAGGCACATTCCGTCCTCTGTCCTCAATGGGCCTGGCGGAGTCCCCTGGGCTTGCTCAGAGGAGGATGCGATTTCCTTCTAGGAGCCCGAGTGGCTGTCTTGGACAGCTGAGACCCTGCACAGAGGCAGGAAGGGAGTGGCCATGTGCCACTGTGCCCTCTCGCCCCTGGGGTGGTGGTGTGGGTAGGAATCCCCCTTGCCCTGCTCTGTGATTCTGGAGAATACTCTTATAACTGGCCCGTCACCTGTCTGACTCCCTCATGGTGTCGCAGACTCTGAGCTTTTTGAGGGTGGGGCTGAGTTGCTCATTACCCACAGAGCCCTGTGGGACCGCAGATGCTGGGGCCAGGATGAGTCTCCTTGTGACCGTCAGGCCCCTCATACTGCTGTTCATTGCTTGGTTTGAGTGTTATACCAGCCCCGGCACAGAAACAGACCAGGGGGCAGAATTTCCATCTGAGGAGGGATCTGAGGCTCCCTTAGGAGGCCAAGATGGGACTCGGGCCTCTGGGCTCTCAGTCCTTCCCAGCACCGGGCAGAGTGGCTGGGCACCCTCTGACTTGGCCTGGTCTGGAAAAGGACCTCCTTGTTGTTCAAGGAAAGGCGGCAGGACCCCGGCTGGGGCAGGCGTCCTCTTTCTCATCTGCAGGCAGGGTGGTGGGGCCCTCTGCCCACCACCCACCCCCGCCTGCCATCTAATCCCCGGCTGGATCGGATGACCTGCCTGGCATTCTCCTGGCTGGAATCTGGTGCTTCTGACAGCAGTTGCTATATTGGGGGAGCTGGGCACCGCCCTGGACGGTCTAGGTCCCCGCCCTCACCCCCTGCTTTGCTCTCATTAGCTTCAAGGCAGAGTCACAGTGGCAGCTTTGAGAGTTGGACAGCCAGGTCCCTGAAGTGATCTCTAGGCTCCAGGTACATGGGGTGAGATGGGGGAGGGCAGACCCAGGGTAAGAGAAGGAGCTTTGAAACCGCCATCTTTGCCCCTATCCTGGCCCCTCTTGGGGACTCCCAGACCCCTGCCTGCTAAGTCCTAGTTACAACAGCCCCGTAGGTGGTGGGATGGCAGTCGGGGTGAAGCCCAGGGACAGGAGAGGGCCTCTTCCTCTCCCAGAAAGCACGTGCCCAGCTTCTCTGCTTACCTCTGTACTCTACAGCCCCCGCCCGCCACCATTCCGTGCTGCAGGGACACCATGGCTCCAGAGGAAGACACTGGAGGGGAGGCCCTAGAGGGCAGTTTCTGGGAGGTGAGCAGATGGGTTTGGGGGTGGCACTGTAATGCCCACCCCTCTGGGCTCAGCCACCTATCTGGGGTTGTCTAGCTGGCAGCGCCAGCCTCGCAAAGGGCTTCTCCCTGGCCACTCCGCCCTTTCCATGTACACCCCAGGCTGGCAACTACAGGCGGACAGTGCAGCGGGTGGAAGACGGGCATCGGCTGTGCGGGGACCTGGTCAGCTGCTTCCAGGAGCGTGCCCGCATCGAGAAGGCCTACGCCCAGCAGTTGGCTGACTGGGCCCGAAAGTGGAGGGGTACCGTGGAGAAAGGTGAGCCGGCATATAGGCCTAGCAGGGAGCAGAGAGCTACCAATGTGGGGAGATCAGGCAGGCAGCTTCTTCTTTTTAATCCTCAACCAAGAAGTGAGGATATTTTCCCATTGATTTTTAGAGAGAATGTATGGGAGAGGGGAAGAAAAAGGGGGGGAGGTGGGAGGGAGGGAGAGAGAGAGAGAGAGAGAGAGAAACATCGAATGGTTGCCTCCCATATGCCTCAATGGGGTGCGGAGGGGGTGCAGACCAGACCTGCAACCCAGGTATGTGCCTTTGACGGGGAATCGAACCCGAGACTCTCCGGTGCCAACGCAGGTGCTCTAACCATTGAGCAACCGGCTAAGGCTGGGGCAGTTTCTTTTTGCACCTGTGGTGGAAGGTTGAGGCTCTCATGTCTGCTTTCCTGTTAAAGGGAAGATCCTCCTGGTAATTCTCATGGCAGTGCTGTTAGTGTTTGCTAAGTACAGTCACGAGTCATTTTGATATTTCTAACAACCCTATGATGGAGATAGTCCTGATCTACACATTTTCTAGAGGACATTCGGAAGTTCAGAGAAGCTAAGACTTGCCTGAAGCCACACAGCTAGGAATAACTTAAACTGGAGCCAGGCCTTCTGATATGGGATCTTTCCACCCTAACTATCGGCCTTCCCTGGGAACAGACACTGGTTCCTCCTTTTGAGGCAACAGAGTATAGAGGTTTATGCCACAGGCCTAGATCTGAATCTCAGTCCCACTTGCAGCTGTCATGCTCTGGGCAGTAAACTTCAATAGTGTGGGCCGCCATTTTTTTCACTTGTTAACAGTTGATCATGACACTGTCTTCATGGTGGTGGATGAGGCAAGGGTTTAGTGAGATCTGATATGTCAAGTCACAGAGTGGGTATGCAGTAAGCAGCAGCTGACATCGTTGCTCTTCTTTGCATCCCCACTTCGTGCCTGGCACCTGGAATAGCACCTGGGGGGGGGCGGGGAGGGCTCGTTTCTGGTGGCTTTCCTGGCCTGGCCTAAGTCCCATGCCTCCCTGCAGGCCCCCAGTATGGCACGCTGGAGAAGGCCTGGCACGCCTTCTTCACGGCGGCTGAGCGGCTGAGCGCGCTGCACCTGGAGGTTCGGGAGAAGCTTCACGGGCAGGACAGTGAGCGGGTGCGTGCCTGGCAGCGGGGGGCCTTCCACCGGCCAGTGCTGGGTGGCTTCCGAGAGAGCCGGGCGGCAGAGGACAGCTTCCGCAAGGCCCAGAAGCCCTGGCTGAAGAGGTTGAAGGAGGTGAGCCTGGGAGGGATGCGCAGCAGTGGCCTGCTCCTTACTAAGTCCACGGGCCCGGGGTGTGGTGTGCGGGGTCCAGAATTGTCCCTGTGTGTGCCAGGTTGAGGCCTCCAAGAAGAGTTACCACGGAGCCCGGAAGGAGGAGAAGACAGCGCAGACTCGGGAGAGCCACGCGAAGGCAGACAGCACGGTCTCCCAGGACCAGCTGCGCAAGCTGCAGGTGCGGGTGGACCGCTGCACCAAGGAGGCCGAGAAGGTACCGCCATGGGATGGGCTAGCCCAGCTCAGGGCTTCCTGAATGCCTTTCCCAGTCCCCAGCACTCTTCCTGCTCTCGTCCTCACCTGCCACCCTCTCTCCAGATTACCATTTAAAGGAGGAACCTGAGAAAAGACGATGCTTTACCCAGGGAAAGAAACGGTGCAAGTTCAGGCATTGGGATAATTTTAGGAGTTGAGACCTTCCCAGCTCCCTTCCTTTCCCAGTGTTCCACCTGGGACCACCTTTCATGTTGGTTGCTTTGACAGCGTGCCTTTTCCTCTAGCTCTGCATATCCAAATCTTTCCATCCCCCGAGGTGCTGGTCAGTTTCCTCCTCCGCCATGAAGCCTTCCCTGATTTCTTCCACCCCCTCCAGGGTGGACCTCATCTCACTCTTCATTCTCCATCTCTTCTTACTCTCACTTTTAGTCTTCACTCACCAGACTCTAAAAGCTGCTGTGCCCAAATGTCACCTCTCTTACTAGGCTGTTAGGGGCAGGAGCCAGACCTTGTGACTGGTTGCCCCTGGTGCCTAGCCCAGGGTCTAGCCAATGGCAGGTACTCAGTAAATACTAGCGGGATCATGAGTGGAAGGAGTTCTCGTGCTGACCAGGTCCCCTCCTCCCCCACCCAGACAAAAGCCCAGTATGAGCAGACGCTGGCAGAGCTGCATCGCTACACCCCACGCTACATGGAAGACATGGAACAGGCCTTCGAGACCTGCCAGGCTGCTGAGCGCCAGCGGCTTCTCTTCTTCAAGGATATGCTGCTCACCTTACACCAGCACCTCGACCTCTCCAGCAGTGAGAGGTATGGCCTGCGTGGGCATGGAGATCTGGGGAACTGCTGGGTCTCTTCCACTCCCTTGGGCTCTGGCTGGGCTGAAAGAGATTTAAGGAGGTGCAAGGGCCCAAGGCTTCCTAGTTTGAGGGTTGTGCCTCGGGCCACAGGTTCCATGAGCTCCACAGAGACCTGCATCAGGGTATCGAGGCAGCCAGCGATGAACAGGATCTGCGCTGGTGGCGCAGCACCCACGGGCCGGGCATGGCCACGCACTGGCCACAGTTTGAGGTACGTGTTCCAGGTGGGGCTGGGAGATGGGATGGACTCCCACTGGGCTCAGCCTGGACCTCAGGAGGGAGGCCAGGACTTGGGATGAAGAGGTGAAGGTGATTTGGATGGCCCTGGATGCCACCACAGCCTGCAACCCAGCCTGACCCTAAGCACTGTCCCCACAGGAGTGGTCCTTGGACACACAGAGGACAATAAACCGGAAGGAGAAGGGTGGCCGGAGCCCTGATGAGGTTACTCTGACCAGCATCGGGCCCACAAGAGATGGTGCTGTGCCCCCACCTCAGTCCCCCGTGTCCTCAGGGTGAGAGCCAGAAACTTGGTTGTTCAGCTCTGGCCCCTGCCCTGCCCGCCTTTCCTTCATTCCCTTCACACCTGAAGTGGGTTGAAAATGGGTGTCAGAGCCATAGCCAGTTTGGCCCAGTGGATAGAGTGTCGGCCTACGGACCAAAGGGTCCTGGGTTCGGTTCCGGACAAGGGCATGTACCTTGGTTGTAGGCTCCTCCCCAGCCCAGGCCCTGGTCAGGGCTCGTGCAGAAGACAACCAATCAATGTTTCTCTCACATCAGTGTTTCTCCATGTCTTTCCCTCTCTCTCTAAAAATCAATGGAAAAATATCCTCAGGTGAGGATTTAAAAAACAAACAAAGAAAATGCGTGTCAGGGACCTTGGACCTCCTGGGGGCTATAATGCCAGTTTTCATGGTGGTTTAGGTTTGCCAGGTGTTCCCCTGTTCCCTCTCACTTACTGCTCATGTCAGCACCATGTGGCAGGGAGGGCACCTGAGCTCGCAGGCAGGTGGCAGAGGCCAGGCTAGACTCTTCCAGTTCTTCCCCACCTGCCTCTCCCAGGGTCCCTCCCGGGGGTGGGCCCTTGACTGTGGGTCCCAGGCTCTCTCGGTCAGGGTGTTCCTTATGCCCTGAGCCTGCCCCTTCTGCCTCCCCTCTCCAGCAGTGGGCAGGATGAGGAGTGGTCAGACGAGGAGACTCCCCGGAAGGTTGCCACTGGGGTGCGGGTGCGGGCGCTCTATGACTACGCTGGCCAGGAAGCTGATGAGCTGAGCTTCCGAGCAGGTACCCTGGGACCCCTTTCCTGTTCCTTTCCAGGCTTCAACCTTCCCTCCCCATTTATTGTCTTGAACAGGGGGGGTGGCAAAGGGAAGCCAGACACCTACTTCTTAAGGGTCAGTTCTCTGACTCTTAAGGTTGCTCTGGGTCCAGTCTGCAGGAGTCAGAGTGTCTGCCTCTCGAAACCTCCAGATGGGGTCCGATTGCTGCATCCAGGGCCTGGGGTGGGGTGGCTGGCTGACTGGGACCTCCCTCTGCCTGAGCCAGGTCTCTTCCCCTAGCTGGGTTCTCTGGGTTACTGCCTGCCCCCCTCAGTCCTTGACCCAATTGCAGGAACGGGGCTGGGCCAGGGCAATTGGCAATGACCAACCCCCCTTCCCCCAGGGGAGGAGCTGCTGAAGATGAGCGAGGAGGACGAGCAGGGCTGGTGCCAGGGCCAGCTGCAGAGTGGCCGCATTGGCCTGTACCCTGCCAATTACGTGGAGTGTGTGGGGGCCTGACAGCCCTGGCAGCCCTTCTGCAATGTTTCTCCAGCCTGAGCCAGAGCCCAGCTTCTGGACAGCTGGACCCGAGGGCCCTGAACCTGTGCCCCTGCTGTCCCTCTGTCCCCCGAGGAGGGAGGAAGTCCTGGGAGTCAGGGAGGGGAGGGGCCGACTGAGTCTAGGCTGTGGGTCATGGGAGGTCAGGAGGTCACAGAAGGGTTCAGGGTACCTCGGCCTCCCCAGGAGTGTTTGGTCTCCCCAGGAGCCATGGACCCAATTCCTGGTCTCTGTGTTTTGGGGTTCCTGGGGTGGGCTTGAGGTGAGTGTCGTTCTGAGCTAGCAACACTCTTTTGTGGCTTGTTCTAGTGTGTATTAAACTTGAAAAAAATAAAAAAGCATTTTCAGGCTTGTGTGCACCTTTTTTTTTTTTTTTTTTTTTCATCTTTTATGATACTCCACCCTTGCCAGGCTGCAGAAGGCTTTGGGGAGAGAGGCACTGAGGGGAGGTCCGTGGGCCCAGAGAATGTTACGGGGACGGGGGTTGGGCAAAGGTTGGCCAGATGGTACCCTAACCTTGGGTGGAAGAGGCTGGCCATCAGGCTTGGCTGGTGTGCGGCGGCCAAAGCTCGAGGCGGGGTGCCGACGTCTGAGCTTGGTGGGGGCGGCCCAGCCAGTTTGTCTTCCCTTTCGGGCCGGTGGCACCTGGTGCGCTTGGTAGGACTGTTAATCATTACTCACCCGCCGGGAACCGGCCCCAGCTACGGCCCGGATCCCCGGACTCGCAGCTCACGCCCGCTGGGAGGCTACTCACCTTCCGA